CTGTACCCCCCCCTCCTCATGCGGGCTCCCCGGGTCCAAGTCTCTCAGGGGTCCCTGTAGGGGCCTCCCATTGCTGCTGTTTTCCATGGGCCACACTCTCCCATTTTGCCATTTTTGGGTCTCCTCACACTGCTGGTGGGTTCCATTTTTTTTTAATAGGGTGCTGGAAGATTAGGGGGCCCCCATGCTGCTCCCAGGCCCCTAATCTGCCATCCCCCCAAAGTACCGCCTCCTCTTTCTGCTGCCGGGTTTCCACAGTCTCTCATGGGTCCCTGTACGGCCCCCCAATTGCTGCTGTCCCTCGCCAAAAATTTTCCTGTGCCATTTAAGGTCCTCACACACTGCTGGTGGGTTCCATTTTTTGTCATAGGGGAGCCTGGCAGCTTACGGGGCCTCCCACGTGCTGCTTGCCACGGCCCTAATCTGCCATGGGCCCCTGTATCCGCCCTCTCTCATGCTGGCTGCAGGTCCAGAGTCTCTCATTGGGTCCCGTGTACGGCTCCCATTGCTGCTGTCTCCATCGCCACACATTCCTGCCATGTGCACTTTCAGGTCTCTCACTAACACGGCGGTGTGTTCCATTTTTTGTCATAGGGTGCTGGCAGAGATTTACGGGCCTCCCAATGCTGCTGCCTAAGGCCCGCCTAATCTGCCATGGGGCCCTGTACCGCCTCTTCATGCTCACTGCCCAGGTCCACTAGTGTCTCATGGCAAATGTGCCAACGTTTCAGGTCTCCTCACAATGCTGGTGTGTTCCATTTTTTGTCATAGGGTGCATGGCAGATTACGGGGCCTCCATAGCTGCTGCCAGGCCCCTAATCTGCCATGGGCCCCTATACCGCCTCCTCATGCTGCTTGCCAGGTCCCAGATGTCTCTCATGGGTCCTGTATCGGTCCCTTTGCTGCTGTCTCCATCGCCACAATCTGTGCCATGTGCCACTTTCAGGTCTCCTCACACTGCTGTTCGTGGTGTGTGTTCCATTTTTTGTCATAGGGTGCTGCAGCAGATTAACGGGCCTCCCATAGCTGCTGCCAGGCCCCTAATCTGCCATGGGCCCCTGTACCGCCTCCTTATGCTGCTGCCAGGTCCACAGTGTCTCATGCCATGTGCCACTTTCAGGTCTCCTCACACTGCTGGTGTGTTTACATTTTTTGTCATAGGGTGCTGGCAGATTACGGGCCTCCCATTGCTGCTGCCAGGCCCTAATCTGCCATGGGCCCCTGTACCGCCTCCTCATGCTGCTGCCAGGTCCAGAGTCTCTCATGGGTCCCTGTACGGCCTCCCATTGCTGCTGTCTCCATCGCCACACTCTGCCATGTGCCACTTTCAGGTCTCCTCACACTGCTGGTGTGTTCCATTTTTTTGTCATAGTGTGCTGGCAGATTACGGGCCTCCCATAGCTGCTGCCAGGCCCCTAATCTGCCATGGGCCCCAGTACCGCCTCCTCATGCTGCTGCCAGGTCCACAGTCTCTCATGGGTCCCTGTACGGCCTCCCATTGCTGCTGTCTCCATCGCCACACTCTGCCATGTGCCACTTTCAGATCTCCTCACACTGCTGGTGTGTTCCATTTTTTGTCATAGGGTGCTGGCAGATTACGGGCCTCCCATAGCTGCTGCCAGGCCCCTAATTGCCATGGGCCCCTATACCGCCTCCTCATGCTGCTGCCAGGTCCAGAGTCTCTCATGGGTCCCTGTACGGCCTCCCATTGCTGCTGTCTCCATCGCCACACTCTGCCATGTGCCACTTTCAGGTCTCCTCACACTGCTGGTGTGTTCCATTTTTTGTCATAGGGTGCTGGCAGATTACGGGCCTCCCATAGCTGCTGCCAGGCCCCTAATCTGCCATGGGCCCCTATACCCGCCTCCTCATGCTGCTGCCAGGTCCAGAGTCTCTCATGGGTCCCTGTACGGCCTCCCATTGCTGCTGTCTCCTTCGCCACACTCTGCCATGTGCCACTTTCAGGTCTCCTCACACTGCTGGTGTGTTCCATTTTTTGTCATAGGGTGCTGGCAGATTACGGGCCTCCCATAGCTGCTGCCAGGCCGCTAATCTGCCATGGGCCCCTATACCCGCTCCTCATGCTGCTGCCAGGTCCAAAGTCTCTCATGGGTCCCTGTACGGCCTCCCATTGCTGCTGTCTCCATCACCACACTCTGCCATGTGCCACTTTCAGATCTCCTCACACTGCTGGCGTGTTACATTTTTTGTCATAGGGTGCTGGCAGATTACGGGCCTCCCATTGCTGCTGCCAGGCCCGTAATCTGCCATGGGCCCCCGTACCGACTCCTCATGCTGTGACGTTGCAACAAGGTGGAATTCAACCCCTACATATGTTAGACCGCCTTTTTACGAACAGCGAAAGGCCATCACAGATTTCCTCATGTTACAAGCGGATAAAGGTACTCCCTGTGTAACTTAGATGTAAGCCATTGGCAGCTCATGCGTGACACCTGCGCTTGCTCAGGCCCTTTGAGGAGGCCACGCTATTCGTGAGTCGGCAGGACTATGGGATGAACGACGTCATTCCTCTGTTGCACGTCCTGGAACAAATGCTGTTAACAATGGCTGGTCAGGGTGCGGTAGACGTGGCGCACAGATCTCAATGCCACATGACCCCTGTGGGGGCAGGACAGGAAGAAGAGGAGGAGGTGGAGGAGGACATTGGTGCTCAGGAATTATTGAGTGAAATGGGTGGTTTTTCCACTCAGCGGACAGGAGTGGAGGAGCTGGAGCATCTGGTAGAGGAGGAGGAGGAGGAGACAGAGGACCCAGACGCACCGTGGCAGTATGCTGTGGAGATGGAGGCAGGGAGTCCCTCGCATTCCTTGGCACAAATGGCCCATAGCATGCTCGCTTGCTTGCGTAGCGACAGCCGAATAATAACCATCAGACAGAGGGATGACTTTTGGCTGTCCACCTTGTTGGACCCTCGCTACCGTTCAAAAATGGTGGCCTTTTTCACACCTGCTGAGAGGGAGGCCAAAATAACGTACTATAAAAACCACTTATGTAGTCAGCTGGTCTCTGCCTTTCTGCGCCAACGTCCATCCTCAGACACTGTGGGCCCTGTGCGCTCGCGTTCCGCTGCCATGGCAGCAGGGGAGGGGTGGGGTGGTAGGAGCAGTGGCAGCTCCACCAGCAGCGGCTGCCTCAGTCTGCAGTCGATGATGAGTAGCTTTCTTCACCAGCGCAGTGAGGAAACTACTAACCAGCCGCAGCAGCAGCAGCATCAGGTGGACCTGGAGCAGGACCTCAAAAAACAGGCTTAGGCCTACTTGGACAGCACCCTGCCAACCGAGGTAGACAATCCCCTTGACTACTGGGCAACGAAACTTGACCTTTGGCCCCAACTAGCTGAATTTGCCCTTGAAAGGCTGTCTTATGCCCGGCCAGTAGCGTGGCATCGGAGCGCGTGTTTAGTGCGGCAGGAGGTATTGTAACTCCGCGGAGGACACGACTGTCCACCCAAAGTGTGGAGAGACTCACGTTTGTGAAAATGAATCAGGCGTGGATTAGTCTGGATTTCAAACCACCAGTTCCTGACACAACTGACTAAATCCGCCATGAATCATGCCCCAAACATGTGCCACTTTCAGGTCTCCTCACACTGCTGGTGTGTTCCATTTTTTGTCATAGGGTGCTGGCAGATTACGGGCCTCCCATTGCTGCTGCCCAGGCCCGTAATCTGCCATGGGCCCCTGTACCGCCTCCTCATGCTGCTGCTAGGTCCAGAGTGTCTCATGGGTCCCTGTACGGCCTCCCATTGCTGCTGTCTCCATCGCCACACTCTGCCATGTGCCACTTTCAGGTCTCCTCACACTGCTGGTGTGTTCCATTTTTTGTCATAGGGTGCTGGCAGATTACGGGCCTCGATTGCTGCTGCCAGGCCCGTAATCTGCCATCGGCCCCAGTTCCGCCTCCTCATGCTGCTGCCAGGTGTCCACAGTCTCTCATGGGGTCCCTGTACGGCCTCCCATTGCTGCTGTCTCCATCGCCACACTCTGCCATGTGCCACTTTCAGGTCTCCTCACACTGCTGGTGTGTTCCTTTTTTTGTCATAGGGTGCTGGCAGATTACGGGCCTCCCATAGCTGCTGCCAGGCCCCTAATCTGCCATGGGCCCCTGTACCGCCTCCTCATGCTGCTGCCAGGTCCAGAGTCTCTCATGGGTCCCTGTACGGCCTCCCATTGCTGCTGTCTCCATCGCCACACTCTGCCATGTGCCATTTTCAGGTCTCCTCACACACTGCTGGTTTGTTCCATTTTTTTGTCATAGGGTGCTGGCAGATTACGGGCCTCCCATTTCTTCTGCCAGGCCCGTAATCTGCCATGGGCCCCCGTACCGACTCCTCATGCTGCTGCCAGGCCCGTAATCTGTCATGGGCCCCTGTTGTCGCTTGTTGGCATATTCCGCTCGTTCAGATGCTCCTTCTCCTGCTACTCCTCTTCACGGATTCCGTCAGCAGTCTTTCTTGGAATCCGTTTCCAAGAGACAACGGTTTGCGAGCACGCACCCGACGGTGCAGAAGCTGAACGTCCTCCTGTCCAAGTTGCTGCTGCCAGGCTCGTAATCTGTCATGCGCCACTGTACCGCCCCCTCATGCTGCTGCCAGGTCCAGAGTGTGTCATGGGCCCCCGTACCGACTCCTCATGCTGCTGCCAGGCCCGTAATCTGTCATGGGCCCCTGTACCGCCTCCTCATGCTGCTGCCAGGTCCAGAGTGTGTCATGGGTCCCTGTAACGGCCTCCCATTGCTGCTGCCAGGCCCGTAATCTGCCATGGGCCCCCGTACCGACTCCTCATGCTGCTGCCAGGCCCGTAATCTGTCATGGGCCCCTGTACCGCCTCCTCATGCTGCTGCCAGGTCCAGAGTGTGTCATGGGTCCCTGTACGGCCTCCCATTGCTGCTGTCTCCATCGCCACACTCTGCCATGTGCCACTTTCAGGTCTCCCTCACACTGCTGGTGGTTTCCATTTTTGTCATAGGGTGCTGTATGGCCTCCCATTGCTGCTGCCTCCACCGCCACACTGTGGCTCCACACTCTGGTTTTGGCCCCGTGACTGCCCAAATGAGTGAAGTGTGCGGTGATTCTAAGATCGACGGCACTCATCTGCATGTCATACTGACTGACAGTATTATTTCTCTTCCCCAGCAGACTCCAAGGGCATTTAAAATTAAAGGTACAGTGTTCTGCACTAATATAAACGCTCTCTGAAGCCTAGAAACACCCTTTTATAAGTTAAATTCGCAGCGAATATATTCGACTCGAATCGAAATTTTTTCACGAATTCGCCGAATCAGTCGAATCGAATTTTTGAATAATTCGCTCATCTCTAGTGGTGAGCTTCTCTGCCGCCTTGTGTAATGGGATGATAAAGTTGCATTGTGGTTTTCTGTATATTGCAATGATGGCTCACTGCCAACAGCTGATGGTGAAGACGCCTTCCTTCCAACCACTGGAAGCAATGAATCGACTTTATTTTTTTAGCTTTAGTGTCTGTGGGTGTGACAGAATACCCAGTTCCTCAAACCGTTATAAGGAACTAAGGGGCTCATCCGAATAAATATATATTTATCGTTCAGACGGGAGCTGGACAGTGCTAAAGCCATACCTTCTCCAGTCAGGTAGGAACCACCTCTGCCACACATACACCTCTGAGGCTACCAGCGATCGGGTGCTTTCTGGTTGTAGTAAGGCCTAGTGTAGTGTTGTCAAGGACTAGGTGCATTCTGTTTAGTAGTAGAGCCAAGCGTAGTGCTGGTAAGGACTGGGCGCGTGTTGTTAGTAGTAGAGCCAAGTGTAGTGCTTGTAAGGACTGGGCGCTTGTTGTTAGTAGTAGAACCAAGTGTAGTGCTGGTAAGGACTGGGCGCTTGTTGTTAGTAGTAGAGCCAAGTGTAGTGCTGGTAAGGACTGGGCGCTTGTTAGTAGTAGAGCCAAGTTTAGTGCTGGTAAGGACTGGGTGCTTGTTGTTAGTAGTAGAGCCAAGTGTAGTGCTGGTAAGGACTGGGTGCTTGTTGTTAGTAGTAGAGCCAAGTGTAGTGCTGGTAAGGACTGGGCACTTGTTGTTAGTAGTAGAGCCAAGTGTAGTGCTGGTAAGGACTGGGCGCTTGTTAGTAGTAGAGCCAAGTGTAGTGCTGGTAAGGACTGGGCGCTTATTGTTAGCAGTAGAGTCAAGTGTAGTGCTAGTAAGGACTGGGTGCTTGTTGTTAGTAGCAGAGCCAAGTATAGTGTTGTCGAGGACTGAATGCTTGTTGTTATCAGTAGAGCTAAGTGTAGTGTTGTCGAGGACTGGGTGCATTCTGTTATTAGTAGAGCCAAGTGTAGTGCTGGTAAGGACTGGGTGCTTGTTGTTAGTAGTAGATCTATGTGTAGTGCTGGTAAGTACTGGGTGCTTGTTGTTAGTAGTAGAGTCAAGTGTAGTGCTAGTAAGGACTGGGTGCTTGTTGTTAGTAGTAGATCCATGTGCAGTGCTGCCGAGGACTAAGTGCTTGCTATTAGTAGTAAGGTCAAGTGTAATGCTTTGAAGACCTGGGTACCTGCTGCTAGTAATGGAGCCAAGTGTAGTGCTGTGAAGACCTGGGTACCTGCTGCTAGTAATGGAGCCAAGTGTAGTGCTGTGAAGACCTGGGTACCTGCTGCTGGTAATGGAGCCAAGTGTAGTGCTGTGAAGACCTGGGTACCTGCTGCTAGTAATGGAGCCAAGTGTAGTGCTGTGAAGACCTGGGTACTTGCTGCTAGTAATGGAGCGAAGTGTAGTGCTGTCAAGAACTGGGTGCGTGCTGCCAGTAGTAGAGCCAAGTGCAGTCTCCAGTGTTTATTCTAAAGAGGCACAGTGCGAAAAGCTAAACAGCTCTTCCTAAACCCCATCAGAGGTGTGGGTCATCCTGACATCGGAGCCCCTTAAAGTGAATTTATAGGGAATGCATCGACTTTTCATTTGTATTTTAGATATGTGTAAAAGTGATCAGGTTGATATGATTAATCTTGCCAAAGGATGTAAGGTGTCATTTAGACTTGGAGTTGGAGGGAGGTGGCCATGCGTGGTTGAGACGAGTTCTTGCCCCCGCTTAAGTTGCAATTGGCAGCAAATAGGGTTGTTTACACGCTGTGGCCATGAAAACACAGCTTTGTACAGGCACTGTTGTGCTCGGCAGGTGCCACATTTGTCAGCAAACTTGGGGTTAAAACAGGTGGTGTGGAGGTGCTGTATCGCTTCCTCACTGCCTGTCAGTAGCCTCCGAACCACGATCTGAATATGGGCTTCAGAGGGAAGGGAAATTTAAGCTCATGTGTAAATCTACCCTTAATGTTTACAAAAGCTTTGTTTCTCTGTATAGTCTGTAACTATATACTGTATATACAGGGCTTTCTTCCAGCTGGAACCTGGCAGAACTCAGTTCCACCACCTCTGGTTCAGGCCCTCTGCTTCCTGCACACCACTATCATTTGAAAACACAGAAGTCTGGCTTCTGTGTTTACAAGTTATAACTTGTCTCCCAGTGGCTCCCACAGATCTGATCTCCTGAGTGGCTCCCACTGAGTGTAGGATGAGGACAAGGAGATGCAGGTGCCTGGGGTGCATTGTGGATACAGACCCCCCATTGGGTGATCTCCCTGCAAGTATGAGAGGCAGAACCACCTACACTGTGCATGGCGGTACTACAGCTGGATGGGTGCTTCAGGTTAAAACAACAACAAAAGAAAGATATGTGAAAGATGGTGGAGCTTTTAAAGCAATACTAAAGGTTATTTTTTGCGTGTGTGTGTAAAATAACAAACATGTCTATACTTACCCGCTCTGTGTAGCGGTTTTGCACAGAGCAGCCTGGATCCTCCTCTTCTCGTGTCCTCGCAGGCTCTCCTGGCTCCTCCTCTTTGTCGGGTGCCTCCATAGCCAGCAGCTTGCTATGAGGACACCCGTGGCTCTGTGTGTCCATTCACACACAGAGCAATGGCTTGCCCGCACCCCCCTCTCTTCATTGCCTGACTGGCTGTGATTGACAGCAGCAGGAGCCAATGGCTTCTGCTTGCTGTCTCAGCCAATGAGTAGGCAGAGACCATGGACAGTCGAGGCTGTTGTGCTCATTGCTGGATCTCGAAGGGGCTCAGATAAGTATTGAGGGTGCTGGGGGAGCTGCCACACACAGAAAGTTTTTTTTACCTTCATGCAGAGCCTTTACCGCTTTAAACCGCTTTAACAAGGGGGGGGGGGTAGGGGCAGTGAGGAGGGGGGGGCTCTGTGCAGAATTCAGAGTTAAAGAGGGGTGAAAGTAAGATGTGGATGGGGGATGCAGAGATAAGAAGCTGTGGAAGAGAGCTGAACTCTTTACTCTGTATGCAATGCAGTGCACCCCTGAACTCTGCATGTAGCACACTCTGAACACACCCACTATCTGATGTGATTTGGACAATGTGTGTGTGGGGGGAAGGGAGGAATTTTGGGGGTCATGGTTGAGTTCCTGCACTTATTTTCTGAGAAAAATTTATATATATATATATATATATATATATATATATATATATACACAGTGGGGATCGAAAGTTTGGGCACCCCAGCTAAAAATTTGTATTAATGTGCATAAAGAAGCCAAGGAAAGATGGAAAAATCTCCAAAAGGCATCAAATTACAGATTAGACATTCTTATAATATGTCATCAAAAGTTAGATTTTATTTCCATCATTTACACTTTCAAAATAACAGAAAACAAAAAAATGGCGTCTGCAAAAGTTTGGGCACCCTGCAGAGTTAATATCTTGTACTGCCCCCTTTGGCAAGTATCACAGCTTGTAAACGCTTTTTGTAGCCAGCCAAGAGTCTTTCAATTCTTGTTTGAGGTATCTTTGCCCATTCTTCCTTACAAAAGTCTTCCAGTTCTTTGAGATCTCTGGGCTGTCTGTCACGCACTGCTCTTTTAAGGTCTATTCATAGATTTTCAATTATGTTGAGGTCAGGAGATTGTGAAGGCCATGGCAAAACCTTCAGTTTACGCCTCTTGATGTAATCCCCCGTGGATTTCGAGGTGTGTTTAGGATCATTACCCATTTGTAGATGCCATCCTCTCTTTAACTTCAACTTTTTCACAGATGGCATCAAGTTACCATCCAAAATTTGCTGAAATTTTATTGAATCCATTTTTCCTTCTACTCGTGAGATGATCCCTGTGCCACTGGCTGCAACACAACCCCAAAGCATGATTGATCCAACCTCATGCTTAACAGTTGGACAGAGGTTCTTTTCATTAAATTCTGTGCCCCTTCTTCTCCAAACGTACCTTTGCTCATTCCGGCCAAAAAGTTCAATTTTAACCTCATCGGTCCACAGAACTTGTTTCCAAAATGCATCAGGCTTGTCTATATGTTCATTTGCAAAGTTCAAACGATGATTTTTGTGGTGAGGACGTAGAAGAGGTTTTCTTCTGATGACTCTTCCATGAAGACCATATTTGTACAAGTATCTCTTTATAGTGGAATAGTGTACCACAACTCCAGTGTCTGCCAGATCTTTCTGGAGGGATCGTGCAGTCAAAGGTGGGTTTTGAATTGTTTTTCTCACAATCCTGTGAGCTGTCCTGTCTGATATTTTTCTTGGTCTTCCAGATCTTGCTTTAACTTCCACTGTTCCTGATGACTGCCATTTCTTAATTACATTCCGAACAGAGGATATTGACATCTGAAAACACTTTGCTATCTTCTTATAGCCTTCTCCAGCTTTGTGAGCGTCAACTATTTTCAGTTTCAGTTTTCTAGACAACTGCTTAGAAGAACCCATGGTGCTGATTGTTGGGGCAAGGTCAGATGAGTCTGGGCATTTAAAATCTTTGAGATTGACATAACCTGGTCTTCCCAGACGATGATTGAGAACAATCCATGACACTGGCAGGTCTCAGCTTGGCAAAGGGGGCAGTGCATGCTATAAATTCTGCAGGGTGCCCAAACTATTGTAGACGCCATTTTTTTGTTTTCTGTTATTTTGAAAGTGTAAATGATGGAAATAAAATCTAACTTTTGTTGACATATTATAAGAATGTCTAATCTGTAATTTGATGCCTTTTGGAGATTTTTCCATCTTTCCTTGGCTTCTTTATGCACATTAATACAAATTTTTAGCTGGGGTGCCCAAACGTTCGATCCCCACTGTATATATATATATATATATATATATATATTTATATATACACACATACAGTATGCCTGGGGCAGC